AGTCATGGATGAAAAAGTTTTAATGATATGACATGAAAAAAAGTTCGATGTTTTTATTTGTTTGTGACATAATTTTTGAAGAAGGAATATTGAACATCTATTTCTTAAGAACTTATTCAGATTATAAAGGATTTTTAAATTGCTTAAGATATTCAAATTTTTAAAAAACAAAACAAATTATGTCTTTTTTAGTTTCCCTTTGTTTTGCTTTCATTTTATGGGGAATTGTAATTTTAGACTATGTCAACCTTCATCGATCAAAAGGTACCTCAAGATAGAATCAAGTTAACATGTCTTATATACTAGTGAATTGGTATTCAATATTAATAGTGGTAGTTACACCACAATTTAATTGCACCTTTTTATGCAAAATAAATCTCAGTTAGTATTGCAAATTTAAGATTTATTGATGACTTTAATGGATTCAATTTAATTGATACTGCCAGTACTATAGATCCAAACGAATTAACTCTGATAATCAGTTTAATTTCTTTTCCGATTTATTTGATTCATTAATCACATCAAATTCTTCTACAATGTTAATAAAATAAATAATTTCTTCATTCCCAGTCAGCAAATTAGTTGACAGGAATTTTAATGTTTTTATAATTATCTGCACAAATGTAATATCGTCTCAAATTAATTTGATTGAAATAGTGAAATTAGTCCCTCATTATTGGTCAGATCGTTTATTTTAGCGTTACACGATTTTTCTTCATTCTCTAACTTGTAACTTCCATTGTTACGGCACCTCTTCCTTGATCTATCGTCTTATGACTTTACTCCAGGTTGAAGAATTAATATACTTATATAAATAGTAAGGAAACTTAAACGTTGAAGTTTCAGTCTGCTCCCCCTGAAATGTAGTGTGCGTTATAATTGGTCCCATTGTTTATTTCAATCTTAAACAATTTCTCTTCCTTTCAGAATTTGTAATTTTCAGTTGTCTCGGACATTTCAATCTTTACTATTTTTTCTTTTTTCAAAATTTATTCCTCACTTTAAAATTAATTCCAAATTTAATACTTATTGATTTCACTTTAATATTTCTGGCATAAATAGAGGAATTCCATCAGATTAATTTATAATCTAACTCACTTCATGAAGCTGTGATTTTTGAATTTCATTTTAATGATGGGGATTTTCTCACGTTGAATATATACACCGAAGAGCCATTACTTTATGACCACCCTGCTAATAACATGTAGGACCACCTTTCGACCTCAAAACTGCTAGCACCCGCCGTGGCATTGATTCCGCAAGGTGCTGATAGGTAGTCTGAGATATCTGGTACCAAGCGCTCACCAACTGGTCCTGCAACTCCCTCACATTGCTAAGGGCAGCACGAATTTGGTTTTTCAAGTAGGACCAAAAATGCTCTTTTGGATTAAGGTCAGGTGAATTTGGGGGCCAAGACATGATTTGAAAGTCACTGGAATGTTCCTCGACGATTCGACCCTTATGACATGGTGCATTATCCTGTTGGTAAACACCATCCCCCGCAGGAAAAACTGTTGACATGAATGGGTGAACCTGGTCTGCAACTATGTTCAAGTAGCTTACAGACGTCAGGGATTGTTCTATGAGGATTAAGGGTCCAAATGTGCCCCATGAAAACATTGTTCCTGGGCGAGAAACCATGAAAACTTGGGCGAGCCCATTGTTATAGATGGAGGGTGGTCATAATGTAATGGCTCTTCGGTGTATACTTCTACTTCGACTCTTTGTGTTTCGATATTGTGACTTCATCTGACATGTTTCTTTATCGTGCTTTTTTTGAGAAAGAGAGAAAGAATGCGAGGGAGACAGTAGAAGGTTTTGCCTGGTTTTAGTATTCTGCCGGCGGCTGGCAGAAACTGCTCCTTCACTGACTGCTTTGCAATATTCCCCTTGTGAAGCTGTTATGCTTTTCAGCGCATTCTCTCATATCATCAGTTTATTATATTTTTCCTTTGATTACGTCTTAATGTTTCCTTAGATTCTAAATCGCGTATATTATGCTAGTTTACTTTGCTTCTAATATTTTTTTCCAGTTATAATATGCAGCTATTTAGCGCTTTATGTATACTTGGTACATTAAATTGCAATATGTTTATCGATCTATATTGCAATCGCTCTAATGACTCTAACGTTTGATGTTATATATAAATACTATAACTATACAAATGTCGTTAAATTATATTGTGTGTCTTGACACGTGTGCCAAAACACGTGGGGCCGTTGAGACTGAATTGCTGTTCCCCAAACTTAGAAATCAACAGTTATTCATTTGAAATCCAAAAAACTTGAGCTGGGACCTATTTTAACAATTGATAATTAGCTTAGAAAAAAATTTGCTTTATTACAATTTCGTCAACTGAGCAGGCTGAAAAGATTGAAACAAATTTAATTTATTCCATCTAAAATAATACTCTTTACTTTTTTATAGTTTTGTATAAATGCTCACTTTATCTACTAATCATAGTATGAGAAGAAAGAAATTCCCAAGATTTCAAATGCTCAATTTAAATCCAAACAATTTCCTTTCTTTATTTTATGATTTAGAACTTACGCATTGGCGAAAATTATATTTGTTGGCAAGCGGTTCGATACCTTTGGAGTCCGTTTGCGGGTCTTCAATGTTTCTATGCGTCAGATGTAAATATCCACCTCTGTGTGTAAGGTATCAGTCTGTTTACATGACTGTTAAAAAATTTTCAGCTATTAAGAACATTCTTAACATTATAATTAACTCGAAAAAATCTTTCGATAATATAGAGATTTCCTCAAATTTAGATTGCTGTTTATTGGATAAATTGGATTTGTTAAAATTTGGATGTCTCACGATACACAAAAAGCCGATTGGATAATCAAATTTTCCATTTTTTTCACCACCTGTTGGATCTATTAACATTCTTATCTTCCTGATTTTTCAAATTTTCTACAACTTTTGAAAAAAATTATCTTTTAAAGCTGGAGTCAATTTACTGACGTAATCTGATTGAAACTCACATTTTTCATTTACCCCTAAATTAAAAGGCAATTTTATATCTCTTAACGTGAAACCAGTTTCAAAAAATTTGATCTGTTCAAAAAAATTTTAAAAAATTTACAAAGTGTCCTCTCTATTGCTTCTTTGGTATGGACTGTGGAAATATCATGTTTTGGAAAAAAAAAGTCTCATTTAAAGAAATTCTTTAAGCCTTTTTGGACAAATATGGGCATTTTTAGAAAATTTCACCCACATATTTTTACATGAAGCCAGTTTTAAAAAATTCGCTTTTTTCAAAAAATTAAAAAAAAATCACAAAGTGTCTGCTCCTTTGCTTTTTTAATATGGGCTGTGGAAATATCATGTTTTTTTGTAAAAATATGTCTTATTTAAGTCTTGTCTCTCCCTGACTTCAAATTGATAATTCCATTAATGATGTTGCTAAGGGAATTCTCTTCTCAGAATTTAATTTTTGAATGTTTACAACGCGGTTATAATTTTCTAGTTTGTTTGCTGTAATGTTCGTTTGAATAAAATTGTCAGCCTCGTCCCAGATTTTAGTTTTAAAATTGTTAATTTTTCTAACTTCATCCTATCCATTCAATCACACTATCTCTTTTATTTTCTGAATAAATTTGCCTACCACTCATAATTTGCTTACTATTCATAATTAAATCAAACAAATTATTCATAACTAATTTTTTTAAAGCAAATTTATAACAGCAAAAAAATTTTCAATAAAATATATCTAAAGAATTTAAACACACCATTTCCAAAAAAGAATCTAATTGCAAAAAAAAAAAATCTAACTACGTACACAAAATTTCTCCAACACTTTTTTCACTCATATCTAAGAAAAATTAGCAAATTTCCCATTCAAATAGATAAGCAATTACCTTACTAGGCAGTAAGTAAATATTTCTTAACATTTAAGTTCGATTAAAAGATATTTGAAACATTTCGTTAGAGTTTTAACCTACACCACGGGCAGAAACCTTTTGGTCACATACCATTGAAATAAAGATTTAACTTTACTGAATGAAATCTAGATACATTTTCTTTAATTTATTCAGTACAAAATATAGTTCCCTAAAACTTTACAATTATATTCGGGAATACTACTAAAATAAGTAACAAAACAATAAATAAAAAAGGGGGGGGGGACAACACTTTTATCATTTACACATTATTTATTTACACTAAGTAATTTGAATTTTTTTTTTCAAAATTTGAAAACTATAAAGGAGTAGTCAGTTATGAATTGAATTTCGTTATCATGGTGACAAATATCTTTTATTCATAACAATAAAGGCATAGAATAAAGCATAATAAATTAGCGTGCTTTACTTCAATTTGTGATGAACATCGACGATTTAGATCTCTATTTTTCACTTTAAAGGAAGCATCTGATTTTTTTATACCACTCTTGTGCCAATCCAAAAGAATTTCTTATGTTACCCTTGTTACTTTTTTTATATAGTTTCACGTATTTTTTTTCTTAATTTCTATTTTAAATTTATTGTATTACATTTCTTTGTCGCCTGGACAGGATTTTCCTCTTCGCGACGAATATATATTCTTTGAATTTATGTGTTTGGTTTTGTTCCCAATAAAGTTTTTCGTTTGTTTGCAAAAAAAACAAAAAAAAAAAAAAAAAAAANAAAAAAAAAAAAAAAAAAAAAAAAAAAAAAAAAAAAAAAAAAAAAAAAAAAAAAACATATCAGTTATTTACACTAAGTAGTTCGAATAGTCATTTACACCAGTAATTCGAATTATTTTTATTGTAAAATTTAGAAACAATCAAGGCATAGTCAGTTATGAATTAAATTTCGTTCTCTTGGTAACAAAACTCCTTCTCTCATAACACTAAGAATTAAAAAAAAAGTATAAGTAATATAATACTATATATATCAATCCATATATATTTTACTTCATTAATTAGAAATGAATTAACTCGTACATTTTCTTCCCACGTATCTGATATAGCGTTTGCTAAATTGGCTATCTAATTGCTAATGTCTTTTTGCAGAATGAATTGGAGAGCAACTTCTCTCGAGTCAGCAGTCAAGTGCCCCTGTCCCCCCAGGGGGATGATGATAGGAGTTATCAGTATTCTGAAGCAGAAGTGGAGAGAGGGACATGGACGGGGAAGTTCGATTTCCTCCTCTCCCTCCTCGGTTATTCAGTGGGACTGGGGAATGTCTGGAGATTTCCATATCTCTGCTACAGCAACGGCGGAGGTAAGTAGGAATTCAATTTGGAGACAATCCCCTTTAGTGAAAAATGTATTTATATCATACTTAGTTTTTATTTTGTCGAATATATCTTGTTTTGTTATAAAAATGCATATGGAGGCAATTTCATACAACCATAC